CCTTGGCTGGAATCATACCCGAGACTCTTTGGTCCACAGGCCAACACTCTAACTGCCTAGCCAAACTGTCCAGGGCTTTGGGTGGGTTCTTAATGTTGTAATAACCTCAAGTGGGTTCACACTGTATCAGAGAGAATTTTTGAAAAATGCAAGTCACAGCATTTTACTCTCTCTCTTGTTTAAAAACCCATAAAGTTCTCCCATTACATTTGAAATAAAATTGTTAAAAGTCTACAAAGCTCTGAGTGGTACTTCAACATGTGAAGCTCTGTGGGAAGCGCTTTCATCCAAGATGTTTCTCTTTCCTACTTGCTCTTCACATGGCTGAATTCTATCTATTGTAAAATTCTTGGCTTAAATGTCACCTCCTCTACAGTTAAAACTCCCCAGTTATTTGCTGTTACTGTATTTTGTTCATTTCCTTCAGAGTACAAATCATACATTTATTTCACTTGTTTGATATTTCCTACTCCAAACTGTAATCTACACTAGGAAGACTGTCACAGATTTCCTGAGGAGTCTGAGGTAGAGACCAGTTTAGGAACTTTATTACGGAGTACTCCAATCAACACCTGTTGAGCAAAAGAAAAGAGGACTGGGCATCAGTCAGTGAGTGGACAATGGTTGCCCAGAAGGGGCCTGACTTTGAACAAAGCCACTCTCCTTAGCAGAAGCAATTCCTAAGAGGGCTGACAGCTATGACCCAGGCAGGACAGGATAGCATTCAGGATGGTCCATGCTTTGTGCCATTCAGATCCACTTTCTTCACAGGAGTCCTGGGGGTAGCTCCTTCAAGATGCTACTTTTCCTGGGGGAAACTTATAAAAGATTAGTATGGTGAACTAAGATACCTCCCCACCCCCCGCTGCTGTTGCTTGTGGTCTTAAGACCGCAACTTATATGCCTTCTAGACCCTCCTCACTGTCAATTAGCGCCTTTGAAGGTTTAGGTGACTTCCTAGTGAAGTGAATCAAACTGTCAGATCTCTCAGGCTGCACCTGTTTCACTTGTCCATTTGCCATCAGACTTGTATAAGACAGTACTAAAAGATGTCCAAGTTAGCTATCCGAATGCAAAAGATGCCTCCATGCCTTCACTGTGTAACAGTAGCTCTACCGCCTCTTGTTGGTAAGAGTCAATTAGCTCCACCAGGATCTTTTTCTTGACTGCTGGTCCTTATCATGAGGGGCCCCAAATGCCTGCATGCTAGTGTAGCTTAAGGTCAATGAGGCCTCTTGCTGTGTTTCTGGGTAGAAATGGTCCCCCTTTGGAAATCAAGACCTTAAAATCTGGGTTACAGTTGTGAGAATGAATAGCACAATTCCCCAGTGGGACTGATGGCAAACAGGGACATTCCTGCTTCCACACCTTGGAACCTGCTCTCAGAAATTCACCCATTGGGGATATATAGCACCATATAATGGTGACTGATTTAGAGCATTACTGCATCCTGGAGGGTAGCACTTTTTCCTCACAGGGTATCATCTCCAAGCTGGCACTTCATCCAAGCTTTCAACAGGCTGTTCCACTGCTTATTAGGTTTCCATTTGTAATTTTGCCCCACCTTCTACAAATGTTAGAGACGGGCCTGAAAGTCACATTACCTACAAAGAAATAATATGCAGACAAAGCTGGCTTCTTATCACAAACAGTAGATATTAGTGGACAATGGAATAAAATATTTTTAAAAAATGTTTTTATTGATTCTTTAGAGAGAAAGGAAATGGAGATAGAAGCATTGATGTGAGAGAGAAACATCAGTTGGCTGCTTCCTGCACGCCCCCTACTGGGGATCAAGCCCGCAACCCTGGCATGTGCTCTGACCAGGAATCAAACCAGGACCACTCAGTCCATGTAAGGATACTCAATCCACTGAGCCACACTAGCTGAGCTGGAACAGTATTTTCAAAATGATAGGGGGAGTATCTGTTAATCTAGAATTCTCTATTCAGTTAAACTAGCATTCAAAGGTGAAGACTGAACAAAGACATTTAAAAAATTTTTTAAATAAGACTAAATTTATTCAATAACCTAGTAAAAGTTTTGATTTGAACTATTCAACAGTATAAAAGTACAAAACAGATTTGTAGAGAGCATTTGGAACTGGGAAAAAAAGGTAAAAAATCACCTAGCATGAGTTCACAGGCCAATTTTAGGTGAAGAGCCTATGATTTGTCTGATGGAAAGTTACTCAGTCCAGCCCTGGCTGGCTTCGCTCAGTGGTTAGAGCACTGGCTTGAGGTCACAAGAGTCTCAGGGTTTGATTTCCAGTCAACGGTACATACCTGGGTTGCAGGTTCCGGGGAGGCAACCAATCAATGTGTCTCTCTCACATCGATATTTCTTTCTCTCTTCCTTCCTTCCTATCTAAAAATCAATGGAAAAATATCCTTGGGTGAGGTTTAAAAAAGAAGTTGCTGAGTCTTAATAAATAATACTAATACTAACAGACATGTCATTCTTTTAAGTACACCATTAACTAATTAGGTTTCCTTTGTCTCAGAGGTAAATAAGGTCACTAAATCCAGCCATACAGTGTTATTTACTTATCCTAAATAACTAATAATGATTCATGCCTCCTTACCTTTGAACATACTGCTCTCTTTTCTGGAAGGTCTTCCCCTCCCTTTCTGATCCTAAAATATTTGGTGACTCAAACCCCCAACCCCCATTTTTCTCTCACACAGACATGTTTTACAGAAGTTCTATTGATCAGGTTGTAGCCTAAAAAACCTGACTTCAGTTTTTTTGAGCTAAGTAGACCTTGTTTAGTAAATTCACTTAACTGCTATGACCTTGGTCAAGCCACTTCATTTAGGGGATACTGAAGGCACTGTACTAACCCCAGAAGTTCTGTTTCAAAGAATTTATAATCTAAGGAAGAAGACAGTAATAAGTAACTTACTTCTTAGAGGAAATGCACAGTGCATTTTTTTTTTTTTTTTGGCTCTGTGAGATTTATGTATCAGACTATGTACAGCGTCCTAGAAATCAGGGAAGAAGTTACCGTTGACAGTGTCTGAATGAACCTCAATTATGTTCACCAATACTGTTGAATCAGGAAAGAGGATGCAGGGAAGAAAGACAAGAAAAATAGTATTTGTTCTGGATTGTTAAAGATGTGTAGGAGACGCATGTACATTGAGTGATGTTAAAGGCTGACAGTAGTTAAAGCTGTAAAAAACAGATTTTATTCAGAAACTATTGAATGGGGGAAAGAGCCCTCAGTATAGAATTGGACTCAATTCTCCTATTGCAATCGTTTCTGATAAAATCTGTTTTTACCGCTGTAACTATTGTTTGGCTCTGGTTTTCTTTAAGGAGGGAGAGGATAGTGATTCAGGGCATTTCAGACAGAGGCAAAAGAATAAAGCTGTTTAGGGAAAGAGTAAGTAGTAATCCCAAGAAAAGTGAGTAGTCCAGAAAAACATTCTCTGTAGCCAGCGCCTAGAGTACTGCTCAGGAAGCGCGGAACGCGAGGAAAGGAGGCTTCTCTCCGTAGATTAGTGGAACTGTTCGGTGGTACGTAGAAAACGAAATGTTTTTCTATATATTCATGGGAGTTCACTGGGAAAGTAAATTTGAACAAGATTACTTGAAAAATTATGCCAAGAAGTCTGAACTTTGTCCTTTGGAGCCAGCTGGGACTTTTCGCAAAGCTGTACAGTATTTCATGAAGGTGATTCGCCCTCCGTAGATAACAGGCTGGGATGGCATGGAGCACCCCCTCTCCTGGACTCAGTTTACTCATTTATACTAAGACAAGGTTGGGTCATTTGGATCTTAGGTCTCTTCCACCTGGACGGCCGGCTTCCTCCCACTGCCCGGCTCCGCACTTCACTCCCCCAGTCCTGGCGCGGCGCCCCCTTCCCCGTCCTCCAGGCTCACTCGGGTGCTTTTGGGGTGAGCGCGTAGGCATGGGGCGCGGCGCTGGAGAAAAACGAGTCTCCCCTCCTCCGAGGCCCTTCATCCCAGGCAGCACCAGGTGGTGGGGCCGGGGGAAGACGTGCCACTCGCTCCTCTGCCCTAGGTCCCGGGGTGGCCGGCCCGCCCCTCGCGCGTCTCTGGTTCCCTTCCACACAAAAGCCCGTGAGCCCCTGCGGCCACCAAGCCCACTGCGACCCTCCGCGGAGCCCGAGGCTGGACTCCGACGGCGACCGTGGGACACTCATCCGCTTCTGTGAGGCCGCCCACGGGCCTGCAAAGAGCCAGCGGAGGCGGACGGGCGGCTTCCCTGGGAACTCGCCGCGCGCGCCGCGTCGGCCTCACGTGAGGCGGCCGGGACCACGTGACCCGACGGGCCGCCCGGCGCCCCGCCTCCCGCGGTCCCTGAAGCTGGCTGGCTGGGCCGGGAGCTAGTGCGTCTCCCGCCCGCCGAGTTTCCGAGATCCCCGCGGCGCTCGCGGCGGCTGGGCCCGGCGGACGGCCAGCGGCAGCAGCTGACCTCCAGGTAGCCGGCGGGTCGCGGGCCCGAGCTCGCAGAGGCCGCATTCGTCCTCCCCTTCTCCGCCCCCTTCCCCGCGGGCCGGGCCGGCGTGCCCCGTTACTCTGCGCCCTCCCTCCCCGCTCCGCTGGCTGCGGTTCCGGTCCGCCGGCCCCGCGCCGTTCGCCCCTCAGCTAGCAGTTCTGCCTCCCCGGAGGAGGAAGAGGGTGGGGAGAGGCCAGGGAAAGTTTTCCTGGCTCCCTCTCTCTTTTGAGCTGCAGGGACGCGGTTCCGCTCTGGCTGAAGTCAGTCGCAGCTGCGGCGTTGTTTTGCTGGGAGACCCCCGCCCTCATCTCACTTGGCCGGTCTCCGGATCTCAGCATCTCCTGGCCTCCGCGGGGGAGGGCAGTGCAGCCTCAGACCACAGTCTTCCCTTTTCCCACTCCTCCGCCACACCGACTCCTCAAAGGACTGTTCGCATAGCAGGACCTTTATCCCGGAGCGCGGTTGCCTGGGTGAGATGACATTTCTCTTGCCCTGCCTTGGACAGACTACCTGTTCTATTTAAGATAACCGCGGAGGCACTCTGTTCTGCAATCGTAAGTGGCTTTTGTTTATACTTGCATGTGAGACACTCCGAAGTCTTCTGCTGCAGAACCCTTTGCAATTGGGGATTACAATTTATAAAGCAATATTATAATAATTCTTAAAAAAAAAAAAAAAAAACAGATTCATTGTCTTATTTGTCTTTGACCTATTTTGGGGGGGAAGATTATGGCCCTTGGAGGCAAACACTGTGTTTCTGAAATTGGTGTGCATTGTGGGATCATAACAGCAAAACATCAAGGTGTATAATGTTGAAAGGAATGGAAAAATGATTTAACCTTGATGGTAGTTTAGAGTGCTTTAAACTTCAGAAAGTATCCATTTGAAGTGAGCACTGGGTGAATTTCACCTGTTTAAACTGCTTTCAGGGTTGAGTATCTAACTATGTATTTAGATTTTATTAATACAGCAGTTAATCTGTGGGATGGATATCTTTTAATCCATTGTGTGAATACCCGTCTATTTATTAATACTTCTAGACAGTCTATCCTCTAGTCTGTTTCTCTTAGAGGAAGGATATTAGTCATTGAAAAGATTTCTACAGTCATTATGTGCGTGATCCAAATGATCAAGTTCTGAGAGCTTCAGTAAACAGCCATAAAAACCAATTTTTCAGCTTAAGAGTTAAAATAAAAATTTAGAATTATTTATTTTATTTTTTTATCCTCACTCCAGGACATTTTTTCTTTTTTTCTTTTTTTGTTGTTGTTCAGATAGAGTGGGAGGGAGAGAAACATCGGACACATCGAGTGGTTGCCACCCACACGACCCAATCAGGGCCGGGGACAAACTGCAACCAAGGTATGTGCCCTTAGTGGGAACCGAACCCGGGTCTCTCTGGACCACGGGCCGACGCTCTAACCACTGAGCAATCGGTCAGGGCAAAATAAAAATATAGAATTAAAGAGTGCCTGCACATTCCAGCAAGAGCTTGGCTCTATCTTAATAATAAACAGCTCAAGCTGGAAAGTCTGAGACATTGTCTTTATCTGAAAGTCAGAGTGGTGATAAAACTGAAGGTAAGTCAAAGACCTTTATTATACTATTCCTTCTGTGTATACCACATTCAATGAGTCATGCACAGGAAACAGTTTTGGGCTTTCAAGGAGTCTAGAGTCTAAGCAGGGCATTAGGACACATTTAAAAAATATTCTGTGGTTTAAAAAAAATCTAAAGATGTTTCATATTGTGTACGTGTTGAGGAATGTACTGGAGGCATATGATGTCTGAATTCAAACAGAATAGATTTCCTAGAGGCCAGTTAATAAAACAATTATCTGAATCAATTATGTATTTGATCTACAGTATGAACTTAATTAAAAAAATTTTCCAAGTACATTAAGCTCACAATATAGACTTATTGTTTTAATTTTGCAAAGAAAATTTAGAAAATATGAAGCATAAAGAAGAATGTACATTACCTGTGATTATAACATCTAAAAATAACAACAGTTAATATTTTGGGGCATAAGTCTTTTTTACTATACAAATTTACTGGGTTGATGTGTTCAGATAGTGAAGTTTCAGATTGTAAGAGATAACTGTGATATCCAAACCTAGCTCATTTCTGACTCTAGGAGCATCAAAAGCAAAAGTTTGAGTATTGAAGAACTCAGCCAGAACTCTTTGATTCTTGAGTTTACATAGAGTTTTGATAGCAAGAGTTAAAATAATTGGAGATACATATATATATATATATATATATATATACATATATATATACATATATATGTATATATTATCCTCACCCGAGGACATTTTTCCATTTTTTGTTCAGATAGAGTAGGAGGAAGAGAGAGAGAGAAACATCGATGTGAAAGGGACACATTGAGTGGTTGCCACCCGCACGACCCAACCAGGGCCGGGGACAAACTGCATCTGAGGTACGTGCCCTTAGCAGGAACCAAACTTGGGTCTCTCTGGACCGCGCAGGCTGATGCTCTGACCGCTGAGCCAAACAGGCCAGGGCATATTTTTTTAGTGTTATATACACTTTACAAAATGAGATACTCATGTATTCATAAAAAATCATAATGTGTGACATGATTTCAGGAGGTAAGGAATCCCATCCAGGGAAGACTATATTCAGACCATTCTTGAAGGATGGTGTCTGTGTTTCCCACAACCCCAGAAAAGAAGACTCCATGGCTTTTCTGATATTAGCATTCCACAGAGGCAAAATCTTTGTTGAGATGTTCTTTTCAGTGCTTAAGGAAAAGTTCTAGTTTTGGAAATAGACAAAGCCTATTCTCTATTGCCTCAATCCTGAACTCAAGTGGTTTGATGGAAACATCCAGTAATATTGTTTACAGCTGTGGTGGTGTTGCCAAAGATGACTGCCAACAATTCTTCCCATCCCAGTACTTGACTGCCATTCCTCCCATCGAGAAATGGAGTCTATTTCTGCTCCATTTGAATCTAGCCTGGACTTGTGACTTGTTTTGATCAATAAAATGCAGCAGAAGTGATATTGTGTCAGTTCTGGGCGTAGCTTTTTAAGAGGCATGGCAGCCCTAGCTTTCATGCTCTTGGAAGCCAGTCAGCATGTATAGAGGGTTGGAGGCTTGGGCTAAATTAGGTGAAGAGTGAGACCACCTGGAGTGGCCCAGATATGTCAGCAAAGACTGTTTCAGCCCTAGTTAAGCTCCCCAGTGCCTGTGACCTCATGAATAACCCCAGCTGAGTCCAGTCAAAACACAGGATTGAGAGAAATAACACATTGCTCTTGTTTTAAGCCACTGAGTTTTGGGTTTGATTCCCAAGGACATGTACCTCAGCTGCAGGTTCGATTCCTGGCCCCTGATGGGTCCTGCAGGAGGCAACCAGTCGATGTGTCTTTCTTACATTGATGTTTCTCTTTTTCTCTCCCCCCTCCCCCTTCCGCCCTCCCACTCTATCTCAAAATCCTTGGATGAGGATTAAATCCTCTTCTGCACCGTTCACACACTCCTCATTCTGCTGCAATCTGGCCTTGTCCACTCACAACCTCCCTGAAAGTCTTCTTGTAAAGGTTGCCAACACTCATTAAATCTAATGAACATTTCTCAGTCCTTACTGTGTTTGATGTCTCAGGAGCATTCAACATTGACACTACCTCCTTTGTGTAATGCACACATCCCTAGGCTTCCATGACACTCTTCTAGTTTTTTTCTTGCTCTGCCTATTTCTCCATGGTCTCTTCTATGGACTATTCTTGTCCCTTTGCTGTTGGAGTTTCTTAGAGTTCTGTCCAAGATCCTTATCTCTTCTTACTGTACATACTTTTCCCTGGATGATTTCATGCCAGATGTCCAAATCTCCCATTTATATCTCTTTTTTGATCTTCATATTTATAAAACTATCTATTGGACTTATCTGCTTTGATATCTCACAGGTAGATAAATTTAAAATGTCCATCCCCATCTAGTCTTTACATTCAGCCAGAATAATCTTTAACAGACATATATCTGATTATGCTTAAGATCCTCCAGTGATTGATGTTGCCCTTAGGATAAAATCTAAGCTTTTTGGCTCAGCCATGCTAAATTTCTTCCTCCACCAGTCCTTTACCTGGCACGTGTGTTCACTGTTCTAGGTGCCAGCCTTCTTTTCAGGTAGTTGACACTTCCCAGTTCTGATGCTTCCATAGCATCCGAACCTCACCACCGGAGCACTGGCCACCCTGTGGTGAGCATATGTTTATGTGTCTAGACCCCCTGACCTCATGTAAGTTCTGCGGGGGGTTAAGGTGGTAGCGGTGTTGGCTCTGTGTTTGTTTTGTTTTTTTACCTACAGCATAATTCAGTAAACATTTATTGAATGAATACAGTATGGTTCTGCATGTCCATTGCTGAAATTTTAGTTTGGCTTTAGGCCAACACAGGGTACATTTGGTATTTTCCATACAACAGAGACTGGTAGATAAAATCACTTTAGAGAGATGCATGTGGAAATGGTTCATGATATCATAAATAGATCTGAACTTGAATCCCTCCATTCTAACCTTGGACTCATTAGAAAAATATAATGATATATTATTTTGTTCAGTCAATTTCTTTAACTTGTTGACCCATCTGTTTTTATTGTGGTCTATTTTGTGACCCCTTTATGTTTGGTGCAACAAAGAACAAAATTGTGGAAGAAAATTAGTTTAAATCATGGTGGTATTTTTTCTGGTTTCCTTTTGAAAATAAAAATGTCATAAAAGCAGTATTGTTTTGTTTTTATAAATTTGCAGTCAACTTCACAACCCTGGATATGTTATTTTTTTGCTGCTAATGCTATTGCCATTTGGGTTGCTTGCTTTTCTAACCTGACCACGTGGCATTAGTAGAATTATTTCTTCACTTACAATGAGCTGTCAGATTCCCTGTATCCTAGAATTGCCTAAAGTTACTGTGCAATGAAATAAATGAAAGCAGTCCCTTGGATGATGGGGCTACGAATTGCTTCCAGAGGCCATTATTGCAAATTGTGCTTCAAGTCAAGTAACCTACTGGCTGGCAGTGGAAGCGACAGTTGTCCTCTTAAATGAGTGATGAATTTGAACAAAACTAATGAGACAAAAGGTAGTCACTGTGTTAGGAAATTCTAAAACAGCAGTGATGCTGTTATTATTTTTAATAATACTGGTTTTTAGAGAGAGGAGAGAGGGAGAGAGACAAACATCTTAGGAGAGAGAAATATCAGTCAGCCCCCAACTCTGGCATGTGCCATGACTGAGAATCGAACCAGCATCCTTTCAGTGCATGAGATGATGCCCAACCAAGTGAGCCATACCAGCCAGGACACTGATGCTGTATGTATATATTTTTATTTTTTAAATATGTTTTATTGATTTTTTTTTTTTGAAGAGAGGAACGGATAAAGATAGAAACATCAGTAGGCTACCTCCTGCATGCCCCCCGACTGGGGATCGAGCCCACAACCTGTGCATGTACCCTGACGGGAATCAAACCAGGACCTCTCAGTCCATGGGATGACATTCAATTCACCCAGCCACACTGGCAGGGTG